CATGGAGCCAAGCTGCACTTCAAAAATAGCACGTGGAGCCTAAAAATCTCAAGGTTTATATAGGGAACATCTTGCATCTAGCTATTGATTAAATGGCTTGGCTGAAGCCTGGACAAAGGCGTTGATTGGCAATCAAAGAAGGAAGGCTGGAGAAAGAGGGTGCAGTTAAATCTGATTACTGCCCCATCAAGAGTGAGACTCTGGACAATGTGTCCCTTTTTGGTAATGGTTTTCTTCCCTTTAGCAACTCCCCAACCTGTCTTTTAGGAAATTTTCCAGTTGTTTGGGCAGGCCCTCCTGATGCCTACCTAACTTGCCATCTAGAGAATTATGGCTGACATCCCACAGAGGTCAGTTTGGGGTCATAGAAGGAACTCCACATGTGTCCCAACATTTTATTAGTTTTATATATGCTAACACCTGGGCACCACAATTCAAAAAAGGATGTTAACAAACTGAAGCTTTTCCAGAGGAGGGAAACCAAAATGGTTAAGGGTCTGGAAACACTTATGAGGAGAGATTTACAGAGCTGGGTATGTTTAGCCTGGAGAAGAGATGATTAAGAGGTTTTATGATACCCCTATTTAAGTATCTGAAGGCTAGTCATATTGAGGATGGAGCCAGCTTGTTTTCTTCTGCTCCAGAGAATAGGTCATCAAACAATGAATGCAAGCTACAGGAAAAGATTCCATGTAAATATTAGGAGCAACTTCCTGAAAGTAAGAGCTGTTAGACAGTGGAACACAGTCCCTCACAGAATGGGGGAGTCTCCTTTTCTGGAGGTCTTTAAACAGATCCTGGATGGCCATCTGTCAGGGTACTTTGATTGTGAGTTCCTGCTTGACAGGGGGTTGGATTGGATGGACCTTGTGGTGTCTTCAAACTCTATGATTCTATGATTCTTTGATCCTCTGAGTCTGACAGAGTGTGACTTGTCCAAGATCACTCAGTGGGATTACAGAGCTGAGCCAGGATTCAAGCCATGCTTGCTCTACACCATGCTTGCTCTCAAACTTTTGATTATCAGTGTACAATGTAGCTAGTCATGCTGTTTCCATTTTTGTTTTCAAGACATTTTATATTCATGAGATGGAATTAGCTCACTCTTCAGGAATTTTTTTCATTCACTTTGGATAGCATGTATTAAATTTGCAAAAGTTTAAGTAAAGGAGAAAGGATAGTTAACCAAACAAGGAATGAAAAAGAGACTTCTAAGCCAAGCTCAATGAACATTCCACTGTTCCCTGAACCAGTTAATACTCAATTAGTGCTTGTGTTTAAAAGAGTTCAGTATTTATTGTATTTGCATGGGAAAGAAATTTATACTGTTGTTCAACAAAGCCTCAATTGGGTCATGGTTGATAAACAGATGAAAATTCATGGTTAACTGCATCAGCAGAGGCTCAATTAATTCTCAGTTCCATTTTAATGAAATGAACAGTGGCTCATTTGCCTCCAGGAATGTATGAACATTCATCTGAGTTTTAGCTGGCAATGTAGGCCATAGAAGATAGACTTTCTCACTATTTCTTCACTATTTATTTGTCACACCTGTTGCTCAGAGGTACGTTTTTAATTAGCAATCCAGAAACTTAGCAGTTGGCTGCACAGCAGATTTGCTTCCCTATTGTCTATGGAACGTTTAAGCAGTCAAGTAGGTAGCGTCTACCCAGATCTCTAGGACCTTCAGGATCAATATTTTAACTTGCACATGCATGAGTGCTGTTGTGATGTTTCCATATCTTTTATATCCCAGATTTCAATTATCCCAATGAGGGGATATCTAATCTATGCATAGTTCTCCATGAAAGGTCAGTTTAATGAAACTTTTGTTATAAAAAGAGCTTTACAGTATTGTTTCTTGTTGGCTATCTAGTATTGTGCATTGTGTAAAATCAGCATAATAAGCAAACACTTGAGAATAAAATTTATGTTAATTGAATTGGTTTTTAAATAATGAATCAACAGAGAGATCTCATAGCACCTTTGAGATTAACTGGAAGAAAGAAGTTGGCAACATGAGCTTTCATAGATTTCAGTCTATTTCCTCAGATGCTTTTGGTGGAGTGGAACCCAGGGACAGACATATATATTCCCTTGGTGTGTGAGAATATCAATTCAAATGCAAAATCCTTTGTGTATGGAAATGAAGTGGACAAAGACATAGCCACTGGGTGAGGAAATGAGGTGGCAAGCCCAGTTTGGCTTTGGAACCTAGCCTGTACATGGGGAGAATAGATGAGTATAGGATGCCCCCATGAGGATGGGGTCAGATAGTGTTGAAATGTGTGTAGTGAGCCAGGAAGCCATTGTCCCTGTTCAATCCATTGCAGAGGGACTGCAGTTTATAAATGAATTCCAATTCTGCTGTTTCTCTTTCCAATCTACCTTTGTAGTTCTTTTGTTCAAGGATTGCTGTTCTGAGATCTGAAATGGAATGCCCAGGGAGATTGAAATGTTCATCCACCAGTTTTTGTGTATTCCCATTCCTAATGTCTGATCAATGTCTATTTATCCTCCGGCTCAGGGATTGGCCTGTTTTCCCAATGTAGAGTGCTATACTATGTCATACTATGTCATCAATGTCCATCAGCATTCTACATTGGGCAAACAGGCCAATCCCTGGGCCAGAGGATAAATAGACATAGATCAGACATTAGGAAGCCCACTTTTCTATGCCTGGTTGAGAAATACCTTTACAGTCAAAGGGAGGGGATATTCTTGCCAGACACCTTTCCATTGTGGACAAACACTTCTTCAACCCCAGAATTCCTCCCTACAAGTATGATTTTTTAATTTAATTTTTATTGTTACTTGTATATGATTAGCTTGCAAATTACCTTTGTGGCCAATTTTTAAAGAGAAACAGGATGAAAATATAATTGAAGAGTAATAGTATATAAAGATTAATTTGCAATTTTACTGTTTTCCATCATAAGCATCACTGCATAGAGTGGTATGTGTGTACACTGCTATTATTGAGATTTTCATTGAAAAGAGTTGCATTTTTAAATGCCATCAACATAATTTCGGGTAACTTACTAGATGCTTTAGTTCTTAGTAGCTCAGATGGTGCACTTGGCTCCCCAGTTCCAACATCATTGCCAGCCACAACTCGGAATTCATATTCAACCCAAGGATTTAGATCAACCACTGTTGCTGTGTGGGTCCTTCCATTAATAACCTCAGGAACTAGATATAAGACAGAAAGGTTTAGGGGCAGAATATTTTAAAAATATAGCATAGAATGTAAGTCAGAAATGTGTACCTGTAGAAACTGCCTGCCATCCAACTGAAAAAGGAGTCCTTGTCTGAATTGTGTAGATTTGGATAGGACTGTTCTTATCTGTTCCAGGTCTCCAGTTTAGCACTGCAGTTGTACTTGAGATATGTTCAATGCTAACATCTTTGGGTGGACCTGGAAGGCCTTATTAAAAAGAAAGAGTCTGTGTTACTTTAACAAATGAGGCAGGACTTCAGCTCCCAGAATCCTAGGAGCTATTGGCCAACATGGGACTATTGGCCAACATGGCTGAGGCTTCTGGGAGCAGAAGTCCCTTGGCCCTTAAAGGGGAAAGGTTGCCTACCCCTGATGTAGCACTTTGAGACTAACTATATGAAAGATGTTGTAGCATATGCTTTCATAGACTTTTTGCCTTTGCAGACTGCCAGAAATAGTGCAAACTGAGTCCACTTTAACTGCCCTGACTCAGTACTAGAGAATCATGGGAAGTGTAGTTTATTGTGGCACCAGAGCTCTCTGACAGAGAAGGCTCAATGTCTCAGAAAAAATTCCCATGATTCCTTAGCACTAACCCTAACCCTAAAAGTGGACTCAATTTGCACTATTTCTGGCAGTCTGAAACCCCCCCTAACATAGCTATGTCTTTGATTACCAGAAGTGCTAGGGATTTTTTTTAAAAAATCAGATGTGAATTACCTCCCTGGATTATCTAGTTTAGTCCCTGCTCAAAGACATGGTACCTTATGGATAAAGCATCTCACGTCTTTTGAGTCATTCCTAAAACTATTAAATATAAATTGACAAAGGACTTCCCTTTCCACTTTCTGGGCAATCATCCAAGATTCAATTTTCAGTCTTTAGCCATCAATCCTGAAAGCCAAATTTCCTTTCCAGTCTCACAATGGTCCCTCAAAACTAAACTGAATTTGGCTTGTCCATATGTCTTCTAGAACACATGAAAGCCCTATGATATCCTGTGTCAAATCCTGGGCATTCCTATCCAGTATGAAGGATGAGTGAATCTACTGCCAAGTGAATGATGTCCATTTCTGCCTGATTATATTGGGAACAAATTCCTAAACAAAATCCTGCACACAACTACTAGCAAGTCAGTTCACATCTACTCCTATTCCTTTGATTGGCATCCATGGTACTTGCTATTCTAGCCCAATAATACCCATAGAGATGTTCCTTCATTAACAAACCCATCCCTACTGGCTGATATTTTTACTAAGCACATGAAACCACATCTCTAAGATCCTTAATGTTTTTCAAATTCACATGGAATAAAAAAAAACAAGACACAGATGATAAATGAGCTGGTGTCTCAATTTTATTCATTATATGCAATGCATCAATACCAGATAGCTGTCCATGTAACCATGGAGGCAGGGATCACTCAGGGGTCTCTTCTCCATTTTTATGCCACAGGCATACTAATCCTTGACCCTGACTCAAGCCAGTTGACTCTGACAGAACCCCAAAAACAGGATATTGAATGTGTTATCTGGAAGTCCTTAAGGGGGTCCTTTTTCTGCCCTCAACCCAAAAGGATATTCAACATAGATGGTAAGCTAGTCTCTCCCTGTCTTCCTGTTATTGTTGTTTGCCTTTAAGTCACATCTGACTTATGGTGACCCTAAGGTGAATCTATCATGGGGGTTTCTTGGCAAGATTTGTTCAGAGAGGGTTTGACTTTACCTTTCTTCAAAGCTGAAAGAATATGACTCGTCTATAGCTACTCAGTGGGTCTCCATGACTGAGCGGGGATTTGAACCCTGGTCTCCAGAGTTATAATCCAACAAACTACTACACCACACTGGCTTTCCCTGTCATCTTACTGATCTGTTTAACTGCCCTCCACCCTCATTCCAACATTGAAATTCTCTAACCTGTCTGATTGAAAAGTAAATGAAAAACTTTGCTTTGAAATGGCATAGTAAAAATCCCCCATTGGCCCAGGAAGCACCTAGTCAAACATACACAGACACCATAGGTTGAGTGGAGAGGAAGACATTAATCAAAAAGCAACAGAGGTTAATGACCATGCTGGCAAGCAGATTCTGGCAGTTGTCATCTAAAGAAATTCCAAACATTTTATCTGTTTCCCGGAATGTTTTGGAGAGTGTACCTCCCATTCCAGAGAACCTTAACTTGCTCCTTTGCAATGCCAAGTCGGTGAAAAATAAAACTCATATAATCTATGATCTTCTTCTAGATAAGAATGCCGACCTGGCTTGCCTTGCAGAGTCCTAGTTGGGAGAGGACAGTGCTGTCACCTGGACACAAGCCCTCCCAGCTAGGTACTCTGTTATTGAGCAGGTGAGGGGAAATGGGCGGGGGCCAGATTGGCTCTGGTCCATAAGGACAACCTGACCTTGACCAGGATACCTGTCTGGAAAACAACCCACTTTGAGTGTATGTAGTTGAGCCTGAGGACCAGGGATAGTTTAGGGATTCAGCTAGTCTACCAACCACCCTGTTGTCTAGCAGACTCCCTATCTGAGCTGACACAGCTGGTCTCAGAGATACTGCTGGGGTTGCCCAGACTTTTAGTTCTGGGTGACTTCAACATTCTGCTCGAGACCAGTTTAACAGGTGCGGCTTGGGAGTTCATGGAAACCATGACAAACATGGGCCTATCCCAATAGGTAGTTGGGACCACTCATTGTGCAGGTCATACACTTGATGTGGTCTTTAGTACGGAACAGGAATATCTGCGGGCGGTGGTCACAAACCTCCGCATTGTCATGAACGGATCATTTCCTGGTCAAGGCTGAACTAAGAGCATCTATCTGCCCCACCGGGGATGGTGGACCCATTAGAATGGTCCACACTCGAAGGCTAATGGAACCAATTGATTTCTGGAAAGACTTGGAGGGCTCAATGGTTGGTAATGCCGGTGACCCTGCCAAAGCTTTGGTTGACACCTGGAGCATCAATGTTACAAAGGCTATTGCTCCCAAGCGTCCTTGCTGACCTGCTCCTAACCGAAAGCCTTGGTATACATCAGAGCTTAGGAAGATGAAGCGGACTGGACAATGACTGGAGCGCAAATGGCAGAAAACTCGACTCTTATCTGATAAGACTTGCCATAGGAACTTTCTTTCATCCTATCGGGATGCAATACGTGCAGCATAGAGATCCTTTTCTTCTGTACGTATTGCGTCTGCAGAGTCCCATCCATCAGAGCTGTTTAGGGTGGTAAAAGAGCTGAGGTAGATGCCCCCTGTGCTGAACCCATTGCTTAACCCGACAACAGCCTGCTGTGACAAGTTTAACAACTTTTTTGCAAACAAAATCTCTCAGATAAGAGCCGACTTAGATGCCACGGTTTCAACAGAAACAATCAACGAGGTGTCCAGTGACTCCATTAATGAAATTATCCTGGAACAATTTCAATCTGTGAGTACCGATGATGTGAACAAGCTTCTTGGTAGAGTGAGGAAAACGGCCTGCCCTCTCAATCCTTGCCCTTCATGGCTGTCTGTCTGTGGGGGGGATTCTTTGATGGTGTTCTTTATGGACATTGTCAATGCATCCCTCAGGGAAGGACATATTCCATCTTGTTTGAAAGAAGCGGCTATCAGGCCGCTTCTGAAAAAATCTTCCTTGGACCCCCTGGACATGAACAACTATAGTCCAGTATTTTGTTACCATTTCTAAGCAAGGTAATCGAGAGGGCAGTTGCTCTTCAGCTCCAAGCTGTCTTGGATGAAACCGATTATCTAGACCAGGGATAGGCAACCTTTCCCCTTTAAGGGCCGAAGGACTTCAGCTCCCAGAATCCCAGGAGCTATTGGCCAACATAAGACTATTGGCCAACATGGCTGAGGCTTCTGGGAGCTGAAGTCCCTCGGCCCTTAAAGGGGAAAGGTTGCCTACCCTTGATCTAGACCCATTTCAAACTGGCTTCAGGACAGGCTTTGGGGTTGAGACTGCCATGGTTGCCTTGACCGACGATCTGCGTCTGAGCATTGACAGGAGTAGCGTGACCCTGTTGGTGCTACTAGACCTCTCAGTGGCTTTCAATACAATAGATCACGGCATCCTCTTGGATCACCTGAGGGGGTTAGGCATTGGAGGCCCTACTTTGCAGTGGTTCTGGTCCTTCCTCTCAGATCCCAGAGGGTGCTGCTTGGGGACAGTTGCTCCAGTAAGAAGGAGCTTACTTGTGGTGTTCCTCAAGGCACCATACTGTCCCCGTTGTTATTTAACATCTATATGAAGCCGCTGGGTGAGATTATACAGAGTTATGGAGCTGGGTGTTATCAGTACGCTGATGACACCCAAATCTATTTTTCCATATCTCAATCATCGGCCTCGAATCCTGATGATGTCTCTTCTCTCAATGAATGTCTTCAGGCAGTAATGGGCTGGATGAGGAAAAACAGATTGAGAATGAATCCAGACAAAATGGAGGTGCTCGTGGTAGCTGCCCTGAAACCAAGAATTGGGTTGCAACCTCTGGTCCTGGAAGGGGTCACACTCTCTGTAAAGGACTGCATTCACGGTCTGGGGGTGCTCCTTGACTCATCGTTCCTGATGACAAATCAGGTAAATGCAACAGTCAGGAGCACCCGTTATCAGCTTCGGCTGATACGCCAGCTGCACCCTTTTCTGGAAGTAAGATATTGAGACTGTTGTGCACACTCTGGCAACCTCCCATCTAGATTTCTGCAACACGCTCTACATGGGGCTACCCTTGTGCTTGGTCCAGAAATTATAGTTAGTTCAAAACATGGCAGCCATAGTGGTTTCTGGGACATCTAGGAAGGACCATATAACTCCAGTTTTAAGGTCCCTCCACTGGCTGCCTATTAGTTTCCGGACTCAGTATAAGGTGTTGGTTATTACCTTTAAAGCCCTAAATGGCTTGGGTCCAAGCTTTCTCCGGGACTGTCTTCTCTCATATAATCCTCCCCAGGCACTCCAGCCTTCTGGGAGGAAATTGCTTCAGCCACAAAAATCTAGGCTATCTGCTACATCCCAGAGGGCATTCTCGGTGGTCACCCCCAGATTATGAAACGGCCTGCCAGACGGGATCCAACCTTTTACATCTTTAGACAGCTTTAAGAAAGCTGTTAAGATGGATCTCTTCCGGCAGCCCTTTCCAGAATAGTTGTCCCAGCGTCAGAAAAATCCCCTTCAATCTCATCCCTCCTAATATGTAGGTTGCCACCTCCTTGTTATTAGTTGTCTAACTTCCCATGTCATTTGGCATTTATTATTATGTTTGAACTATGATTTTTTTAATGTATTATTGATTTAATATCTTTTTAAGGGGTGGGTGGGTATTGGGGTGTATATCTTGTATTTTAACTTTGTTAGCCACCCCGATTGTTCTCAGAGGGGTTGGGTACAAATACTTATTATTATTATTATTATTATTATTATTATTATTATTATTATTAATAATTTTATTATTATTAATTTTTGTTGGGCTTACTAAACACCCACACGCTCACACCAGGAACATCAAACCATAACATGTATTACAAAATTCCCTTCCTGGTGAAGGGTTTGGCTATAGAACCCCCTCCACAAGCTAGGGGCCTTTGGAGGTGGGGAAATAGCCTCCCCTTGGGGCTGACTGGGGGGTTTGCTCTCTCCTGTAAAATCTATGGACTTGTGGGGGAGTATCCATGGTTTACCTTCCAGTAAATGGCTGTCCGGGGAGCAACCAATGATATTGGATTGGCCCCGGAGTCAGGTGTTCCACCCAAGGGGAGGCTGGGGAGGTGGTCACAGGTTGACATCTGGGCCTCAGTTGGACCCATATCAGGGTGCTCCCCCCTTTTTGTTGCTTACTTCCAGGTTCAATTTAGATAGGCCAAATAAAGTGGCCCTTGTTTAATCCAATGTCTTGTGTCTGGTCTTGTTATTTTGTGGTTAGTCATCAATGGTAGCACCCTCATCCTTTCATTCTCATCCTAAAGCATTATAATTCCCATTCAGTTTTCATTTACTGTGAGACTCAGAATGGAATAGTGGTTTGAGTGTTGGACTAGGACTCTGAGTGACCAGAGTTCAAATCCACACTTAGCCATGGAGACCCACTAGGTGACTTTGGCAAGTCACATTCAGAGGAAGAGCAAAGTAATAGCAAACCTCTTCTGAACAAATATTGCCAAGAAAATCCTGTAATATATTCACCATACATTCACCATAAGTTGGAAATTACTTTTAGGCATAAGATAACAAACAACTACTTTATTAATTTGTTCCAAAAATGTGAATTTTTTTCTTAAAATTTGATTTGTTCCAACATTTAGATGTTGCCTTCCAGGGCAAAACCCTCTAAATGAAGATATATGTATATTCTTCTAGTTCTGTAAACATATATTCTAAAAATATAAGAGTGAAAATTGTGATGGAAGAAGTAACATCTGCTGGCACTTCCATCTGATTTGGTTAGTTGCCTGTCAGGCAAATTTAAGCCCATAGGGGATATATAACAACGGGAAATTTATCTTAGCTGTAGATCATGGTTTGTTTGTTTGTTTGTTTGTTTTTAAAAACACATTTCATTCAACCAGTTTCTTTGATGCTGAAGTATAACCTATTCTTCTCAGTGCTATAGTTAGTTGGCATTTCACCGTTAATAGGCTTACCCCTTACAATTATCTCTGCTGTTTCAGATAGGATGTCCATAGCTGTTTAGTTGAATGTTTCTTATCATAAGGTCTCCTACAGATTCCTTGAGATGAAAAAGACAAGAAAGCACTAGAATGAATTTCATAAAGGGTATTTTTGTGACTTGTTAAGTATCAATAAAACTGCCATTTTATAATTAAATTACTGTCATCACTATCTTTCAATTT